GAGAGAGAGAGAGAAGAGAAAGGAGGGAAATGAGAGATGGGCAAGGAAGGGAGGATACGTAGAAGCAAAAATGTGATAGTTATATTGTCAGAACCAGGCAATATGACCTGAACGAGAGACGTGTTTTTCTTTTCTTTTTTTTTTTTTTTTATCGATTAAATATTTTTTTCCTCTTATAATAGATAATAAGAGAGAGAGAAAACATAGAACACTCCCTGCAAAGCTCGAGCAACAAGTCACGCATTCTTTTTTTTTTTTTTAGCCGCTTATAACTACGATCGCTTTCAAATACCTCTCGTACTTAATCTCAGGACAAGATTATCTTGCAGAACGAACCGTTCTTCTTATCATGTGACGCGCATGATTTCTTTTTCAACGTGTATTAAAAAACTTGGAAATTTTTGGTAAACAAATTTCGCATGTTGCTTGTGGTTTTCCTTTGCGCGCAGAAGGGAGCTCTCGTTACAACGAAGTATCGTATCAGGATCTATCGAATTTTCTTGTTCTTTTTTTTTTTTTTCTTCTCCTTTTAGCTAGATTTTCTTTTTTCACGTGCGCGATTTCCTCTTCGTATTTTATAGTCACGTAGAATAAGGTAGCATAGATAGTAATAGAGAAAAAAAGAGAATGAAAGTTACCACGTGCGTATCTGTAAATGAATGGTTGTGATTTGTCAATGGCGACTCTTTGACTCGGTGATATCAATCCTCAGAGGAACATTCTCCTTTCCAATGGCGCGTGGATGCTTATCACGCTAAAATGTCGAAGCTTCTCGAAAACTCTGTATTTAAACGTGGTGCTTCGGTGATACCCGACGAGTGGCTTCGTCTTTTAAAGATATATATGCTGTGAATCGTGTGACTGTGTTTAGTGGCGAGCAACGCGAGTCGTCAAACGTGATCGTTAATGTATTATGTTGTAAGGAACGCGACGTATCCTGCCGCGAGTGACAAGGGTGATTTATCTCGAGTTTATTATATTTAAGAAAGGATTCAAAGATTCGGGGCTCGCGTTGAGTGCTCTTTTAATCTAGTGTAATTTAATTTTATGACTATGGTTGTGCCAACCTTATTTATTTTAATTATAATGATTATTGTTAACTATGTAAGTACATAAAAACTTATTAGGTCATGTTGAATCTATTCAACAAGAGCAAGAATGTTCTCAGCTGGATCTTTGTGAAATTTGATAGAATTTTAAAACAGCATATTTTGTACAGCGTTTATTTTATGGAGGAAAGATTAACACTAATCTGTCTTTGTTATTCTGTCGTTTGAATCAAAGATTTTTTTTTTTTTCTTCGCAAAGATCCGTCTAATTTAGATTTCTTTACCAGAATTTTGTTTTAGCTGATCAAACATCCGACGAGGCGACATGGCCTATTTATAATAGTAGAATATTTTAATAACAACGTAGCATAATTTAAAATGATATCTTAATTGATCATTATGATAAGTATCTAGGACCAGAAACTGATGTATCCGCTCCAATTAACGAAAAATCCGCGAATATTAATTTAAGGACAAAGTTCGTAGGGCATTTTACATTCCATCTGACAAATATTCTCACGACTGCATCCCATTTTATTGTAAATTTATTACGTTACATGTCATCGAAGCTTTATGTGACACATTAATCGCCAAATATAAGTTACACTGTACAATCAGGAGAAAACATTAAATAATTTATTATATTGTATACATATTGTGCAGTTAATATATACATATATATATATTATATACACATATACATATTTTTCTTAATATATTTTTCTTGCAATTTCATTGCTAAAAGAATTGTTCATAGAGCAATGTTTTTAATTCGAAGGTACTAACGAGACAATAATCAAGCCAACAAAATGGAACTGAAAAATATAGATATTATATGATAAAAATATATCGACAATTTGATATAATACATATCGCATAACATCCAGATCAATATTTCATTTCCATCGATGAACCAAAGATCCGATATCCGTCTCTTAGAAGTCCCAGTTTATTTTACTTGTCCAAGGTAAACCAGCCATGTAAGCACTTTGGCACCGGGCCAGAAGTCTCGAAGATGGCTCTAGCGATTTCCGTAAGAGTCACGCTGTCTAGAATCAGCAATCCAACGCGTGTCTCTTTATCAGACCAAACAATAGAGCAGAGAACCACGCCGTCGTCTTCGTTCTGAAAATAAATTCGTTAAATAGACACGTAAATAAAATTAATACGTTTGGTATTTTCCTCTCTTTTCTTTTACGCTTATTTGTGCTTTCAAGCTCAATAGAAACGAGATTTCAAAGATTCAAGTCACGAGATCCCTTACCTTGCCATTAGGATCCGGTACGAAAACCGGTTCACTCGGATAAATATTTTTCTCGCACCAAGTTTTTCTCGTTTTCTCCAAGATGTCCACTTTTATAATCTATAATAAAATAATATATACGTATTTTGCAATTCCAATTCGTTAAAACTTATAAGATTAAAATTAGAGCGTAATTACCGTTCCAGGATTTTCTAAATCCACGTCACTAGAAATAGCATAAAAATATCGATATTCCCTTCCAAGATAGGAGTCATAGTTGAGACGTGGCGTTTCACAGCCCAAATCGCAAAGAAGTTCTGGTTTCACAAAAATATCACCATTCGCAAGTTTATGAGCAGTTGCTCTTCGCCTCAGAACATTCTGATAATCATTCTTCTTGTCTTTGTTAGTATCATTTATCGATGCTTTAACGAACTCTGACCCAGATTTATTCTGACACGTGACAGAGTCATTTTGGAATGACTCCAGACCTTGGTTCACTGTTTTTGCGGTAATCAAATTATATTCCAATGGTATGTCTGGCTGTGGACGTTTCATTGGTAAAATGAATCGCAAAGGCCTGCCACGAAACATTTTAGCATAATCAGGATTCTTATGCAAATTCTAAAATAATTGAAAAATATTTGTATCGATTCGACTTTCAATCATATTTTAATTTTATATAAAAATGTATTACCTTCATCGCATCTACGAATAGGCAGTCTAACATTTTTGCATCGCGATAGCAGCAAATATCTAGTACCACGTAATCACGATCACGTGTTTCAAATTGATTTATGATATGAAGGTAAAAAAATGCCTCTGAAATAAACGTTCTCTCTAATAATCCTGTCTCTCTCGAAATCAAGTGTATAAGAGTCTATGGTAAAAGGAAAATATATCTGTTAATATTTGCTGGAAATGAAAAAGAAAAAAAAAATCCTCGTCAAACTAGACTTACATTTTCGTTCTCATACCACTTTAAAGCTGCACACATCGGTTGTTGTTTCATTTTGCAAGACACTACAGTGGTCAGAGATACCGACAATGGTTGTTCTACGATGATGAAATAATTTTCAGTGATGCCAAAGGTATGCATATAAGAAGGATTCAATAACCATCGTGACGGAACACTGGCAATGATAGTAGCTTGATCAAACATGGATAATTCTTTCTCTTCACCTGAGTCATCTGAAAAAAATATTTAATATAAAATATTCGAAATATTTCGATGAATGATTAAATTGCAAATTCAAAGTAATGCTAACCAATGATAATTTGATTGGGCGAAAAGCATATGATATTGTATTGCGGTCCTCGTGGTGTCACGCTCAATCCTAAATTATAAACGGTACCATCGTTCATTACGTGAGGATGAGACGTGTGGTTCACAATTCCAACGTAATCAGACACATTCACCTATGTATGCACGATTAGAAAATTAATGAATTTATTTATTCGAAACAATTACGAACATTTAACAATTATGGATATAATTAGTAAAATAACGGATATAAAGCAACATTAATAACAAAACTCAATACCTTGCCTGTAGTTTCCAAAGTTTTCGGATCGATACGATGAATTATTGCCGATTCCGCAAACGTGTAATACTCATCGCAAAAGGGATATACGGATATCATAGAATTGTCAGAGTCATTCTCGGGTTTGAATACAGCTGCAACTCTGAAAGAAAATTTCATTGATATTCCATTGGTTTTTATTTATTAATATATTAATGTCTAAATATCATTCGATACCTTTGAAAAATATTTCTGCAAGGGTCTGGTACTGCTTTGGTGCCAAATTCAGTAACTACTATCCTTTGAGCTGCATTGTTCTTTTTGTATACGTCCGTCTGAACAAATCTGCATTGATAGGTCACTTCTCCGTTAGCGATTGCAAATCTATCGTTTCGAAAAAATATAAAAAAGTTAAAATTAAATTAATCAATTTTATTCAAGGTTTCATTTATTCGCGTTCACGGTCTGTGTAAACGTAATGTAAGGCTTCTGGAACCTACTTAAACTACTTAAACTTATTGAAAGGAATTTGATTCAAGGTCTGGGTTACATGTGAAAATTATATATTAAGTATCGTTAAAAAATTATTGTGAACAGTTAATTTCAATTTTCAAAAATTAATTTTTTAAATATTCTATCTAAGTTTTAATTGTATTCTATTATAAAAACATACCGATGCAATAAAGCTGAACTATCGAACAGGTGGTTGAAACTGTATTCTCCGACTTGTAAGCTACCTGGTCCATTTCTTAGTAAAGTTCCTTTCAACCAATGTGGTATTTTTCCTATTATCTTACCAGAAATCGGTTCTATCACTTCACTTTTGCAAGATCTCATCCATACGGACGAATCACAATTCGGAAAATAATTCATCCTCTCTTCTTCCGATTCATTCTCGTTAGATTTTAAACAATCTTCAACGTCGTTTAGCTAAAACATAAAAATTAAATTAATATGTGAAAGTGTTCGAATGTATTTCGATCCAAAATATACTATGTACACTTGAAAATTTTTGAAAACTTTTGATTATTGTCAATTAATGTCGATTCGTGAAATAGAACGATGAAAGTTTAATGAGACTTTTGAGCGATGATAGATCAAGATCTTGATAGATAAAAACTTACTTGAAATGACGTCTTCGACAATTTCATTCGCTTCCCATTTAATAAATCATCAAGTTCATGCAATTTGACGGCAGAAAAATCATTTTCTGATCGTGATCTATTAAACGCAGATGATTTCATGATAATTTTCGCGAACACTACCAATTACAACTCGATGAAACGTAAAATAGCGTATATATAGATACTTTTTTCACGGTCAAGATTGATTTTAATTAACTTTAATAGATGCGTGTCAATAGTCCACTGTTACGTTTCATCTTCTTCCTCGTTTTCGTCTTCTGATTCTCTTTCCAGAGGTCCAAGAATGGCCGATAGAATCTGATAGACTCGCTTGTGAGTAAAATCCATCGTTCCCCTCAGGGCTTCGATGAGCGAATGATATTGTTCCGGTAATCTGTTGACCTTAAAATGTTTTTTCGTAATGCAATTAAAAGCACCGATTGTTCGAAGCCTTACAGTCAGTCACGTGTATTTCACCTCTCACACGTGATTAATTTACACGTGTATTTTTGTCAAGTAATAAAAACAATTTTTTATCAAGTTTGTAAAGCTATGCATTTAGTGAAATTAAAGAGAATATTTTATTTATTTACTTATTTGTGATATGATTTCAAATAAACAAACAGATATTTTAACAAAATATCTTTGTTTTATTAATTTTGTAGAAAACGTCGGTATCTATATTATCGATGATCATATATAATGAGTATATACAATAAAGTTAGTTTCACGATTTTATGTTAGATGGTAGTCCGAATGAAATCCATGTTGTGTTTAATTTATTTAAGAATGCTTAATGAGTTGATATTAAAGAGAGATCGAGAATATGCTGAAATATTTATTAATAATTAAATGAATAATAAAGGTTTTTCAATTTCAGGTATGATAATTAATTTTTTACCTTAATAATTATAATCGTATAATAATATTTCATGGAAAATTATTCGAATGGGAAATAAATTTAAAATATTGGAAAAATGTTACGATCATGAAAAATAAATCATATTATTAAATTTATACCGAGTTATAAGAAAAATTATCATCATTTTTCCATTTTATGGTAATAAATTTAATTCCATTAAAATGATATTTTCATTCGTTTCTTCATGATTTTCGATTAACATAAACAATAACGATAATGAGAAAATATAAAATCAGTAAGTTTATATAATGATATTCTATAATGGACATTCAGTAATCAATCTTGAAAAAATACGTTATTACACAATACTGATATAACCATCTTTTTGACAGGTAACATTATCATATCTATATTACCGGAAACAAAGTGGCGATGTTATGGTCCAAGATAGACGACTTCTCTGTAACAATTGAGTTCTGAAAGAACTCTGACATCTTGTCTCACTTCTTACAGCAAACTTGACGGAAAATTTATCCAATTGGTCGAATGCTCGATGTTTTGTTACTTATGGCAGATTGCCAAAATTATTCGTGGAACTTGTTGAGGTTAAGCAAAATATTATCTAAAAATGCTCGTCTGCACACCTTCAAAACAATTGTGAGAAACTTTTTTCTTCTTTTTTCTACTTTTTTTTTCTACCGAATTATTGATTTCCAATATTCGAAACGTTAGTCAATATGTGAAACATTTTAATTTATTATTTAGAACTTTTCTTACGACTCGAATCGATATCCAAGAGAAATAATCACATGACAATCACTGCACCTAAGAATAATTTATTCCGTGACTATCTTTTCAATATTGCCAAACGTTTCTCTCAGGAATTAGCATTCTGTACGTAATACATATAATTACGTATGCTTGCTGCAGTCTTGATAGAAGACATCACAGAAACATCATCCATGCAATAAATAGTTGTAGGTTAATGATAAACGTTGAAATCTTTATTGCATTATAATTTTTCTTTTCAAACCGAATTAATCTCAAGGATGAACTTCCGTTTGATTTAGAATATCTGTTTAAGCGATAAGGTAAAATTTAATTAAATCACGCGTGCTAGATCTCTAAAAGATATGTTTAATGTTTAAGGATAATTAACATTTCCGGATAATCACGATTAATCGTATGAACAAGATAAGAAAGATTGGAGCAACCTTGATTCCTCGTGTATTCAGTATGTAATTAATTTTTATATCATACTTTAATTTTGTTTTCATTTATGCTATTTATCAAACGAAAAGGAATTTAAGATATAGAGCTTGTTTAAGAATACAAATAATCGAGAAAGAGAAAAATAAATTAGAGGTAAATGTACCAAGGCCAAGATAACATAATCCTCATGATAATGTAATCCTCAATACTAAATCTCGATTATCACAAGGATAAAGATTTTTATGTAAAATTTGAGAAAGTGCCATTTATCGCGTTAGAAAGTTCAAGAAATGAGCTTATCAGTTCGTTATAGAATAAGATTTTAGTATGAAATTAGTACAAACATTTTCCTTATATAACAATTTTATTATTATTATATACGCTATATTGAAATTGAATTTATATTATTCAAATTTATCTATTTTATCTACATATAATCAAGTATAATAATCATGCACGAATCACAAAAGAAAAATTATTACACTTTCTCCAATAGAATTTATTCTACCATTGACGTAAATCAATAAAGATAAACCAGAGAAGATTAAAATATAATAAATAAATAAATTTTTCTAGAAAATTTGTAATCATGCTCAATATATGAACACATAAAATGCCAATCAAATGTCTTTAATTGGATATAATATAAATGATAATACGATTCTGTGCATTACATATCATGTTTACAAAAACAGAGGTACACATCTGCAAGTGAAATTTGGTTTGCATAAAGATGCATAAAATTGATGGATGCACGCATCTGGCGTAGAAGCTTGTTTTCCGTACGTATCAATGTGCACATACTAACCAGTGGGTCAAGCGTTTTGCACGTTTTGCATGACACATAGTGTATTTCTCGCGCAAGTTGCGTCTAGATGACGATATAGATAGTTGTGCATACATGCTCGGTCCACGTGCCAGTCACGTGCTCGATGCGAGAGAGGTATGTCACGTGAATGGTCTACACCCGCAAACAAAGGCAATAAAATTGCGTTAGTATCATGCAAACTAAACATCGAGTGAAAAGCCAATGCAACTAACTCGAACTTTCATCAGATCTATTTTTGAAAAGACGAAACTATAATACTTTAAAAATTTGAAATTTTCGTAATTCAATTTTTTGACGTTACAATAAGTTTTTCTCTTCATATCAAAAATTGTTGATTCTAACTTCAATTGTTTTTCGCTTTGCTTCATTTTTTTCTTTCTTTTTATTAAAAATAGTTTAAGACGCATAACAGCCAATTATAAATATACTTTTAACATTAAGTCTTTAAAAGTGTGCAGGTCAAGGTCGGGACAATGGCAATATCGACGTAATGCGCATGAACGATTCGATTCGATTGACTTACCTTACATTCGAGAATCGAGAAATGGCGCGGGAAATTCTATCGTTTCATCTTTATTTATTTCATGAGTCGAGATTCGAGAAGGATTTAAAGATACGTTTTTCTTGGTGATCATCTGATTTACGTAACATTGCCACCAACGTCGCGTTATAATTCTTTAAATACATTTCAAACATATTTTTCTGTTCAGATGCACAATAATGTATTTAAGCGATTACGTAATGCAGCTCTCAATACTAGTTGACTTTATCGATCAATATTTCTACAATATAATGGACAGGTAACAAATGCAATAATTTATTTTTCATTTTTGCAGAAAATGATCGGTATATCGATATTATGGAGTATTAAAAAGTAAAACGTTTTCAACTGAATTAAAAAAAAAAAAATTATTTAAATGCTATAATTAAGAAACATTATCGATTACCTTGAAATTATTTTATTTTTTAGACTTATTAACGTAAGTTTTAAAAAAGATAAAAAAAAAATAAGAATAAATTCTATACAATATATATATATATACATTTTAATATATTTCTTTTATATATAATGTCATCTCTGATTATTTTCAGCAATGTACAATGTAATTTTACAAAATTATAAAATGTAGCAACATCTAACTGACAAATGATCATTCTGTGGAAAACAAGGGTCTGTCATCTGTCGTGCCGAAAATAACAAGTGTTAACTTTATTTTTAAACTGGTAACATTTCTACTGAGAATGAACGTGTGAATTCACAATTACGTGTCAATCTAATTTAACTTCGTTGAGATCTCGACGACAAACCAATTTATCAAATTGACAAACAAAATAAATATCTGATATTCGTCAGGAAATATTATATAATTTAACCCTTTTTTACATATCTATTTTAAGTTAGACTTTAAAATTGTTTGTAATACATGTATAATTATAAAGTTTTTATTTACTTTTTCTGATTACAGATACTGATAAATAGATAGAAAAGTAGATCGTTGTACGTATATAGTTATATTCGTTTTAATGCATTTGTTGGAAAATACATATAAAGAGTAAATATAATTATAACTATCAGAAGAGCTGCAAAAAATCTTTATCGGAATTATAAAAATTTATTTTGCAACGATTATCATTATTATAATAATAGTAATATTAAAAATTGATTATATTATTAACACAGTAATCAAACTTTTAAATATTTTTTATCGTATTTTTGCTCTAAAAAATTTATATCGTAATTAGGTCATTTTATATCATAAATATCTTTAATTCCCAAGGATAAATTCCAGTACAAAATAAAAATTAATATTAAAATTTATCAAAGTTAAATATACTCCGCAATCTAGATTGGAAAATCTAACAATAAGTGTTTAATTGTATCGCTTTGTAATACAGTTTACTTCACGCAAATAAATTTTTACACAACATGAAAAGAAGAAGGATATTTGTACCACTATATTATTCATAAAGAATGTAAAACAGAATTCTCACACATCATGTGACATTTTAATCTACACTCGTGACGCATGCATTTCTGTATGGAAACAGCTCGTATGACAATAGCTTTCCACATGATTCATTACCTCCTGTTCATTGGAAAAGTTCTCAAGACCGATCGCCATTATGAATGCTATTAAAACTAGCATTGGAAATATTCTTTGATATGTTTAACGAATAAAGAATATCAGATTTGGATAGATTTGCATAGAGAGTTAATGAAATAAAAAAGAAGAAACACGATCGATAACATTGCTTAATTTATGGCACTAAGCATATTTGCTCAGAATAGATGAAACAAATCGGCTTAAACAATTTCAAAACAATGAATTATCGATATCGATAATATTCGATCGAAAGATTGGCAAATATTGCCCATTCAAGGATTAACAGGTGATAAATCGAACATACTCTTTATCTTATTATGTTAATGAAACAACATGATAATTATATGTTTCATCGAGTAGCATGTATATTAGCACGTATATTAAATTAATTTACTGTTACTAAATAATAGTTTTTATAATATCGAACATGCATATTATAGCTTGCTCATGTTCGTATTTTCTTTTATTTTCCTTATCCTTCTTCTCTTCTTTTCCTCTTTTATCTATTAAAAAGAATTGAAATTATTGTATTATTGATTAAGAATTCTTGAAAATATTTTGCAAATAAATATTATTTTAAAAATAAAAATTATCTTATTTTTAATAAATATTCTCGAGAATAACTTTTAAAAATTTTAATTATATAAAATTTAACTGAAATAAATCTTTTTCATTAAATCTTATTATGAAACTTTACAAAACTTTTTTCTACTCCAAATTAATTTTTTTATCAATTCTTCTTCTTACTCTTCTTTTCTTATTATTTATCGCTCATTTATTATAGAGAAATTTTATATTCGTCTTTTTGTATCAATTTGACATTCAATTTAAATAAATTGAATTTAACATGTTTCTTGAATTTGCTCGTGCACTACATGAATTCAATGCTTCTTCTGCTTTATCAATTCCTTTTTTCCTTCCTTATCAATTCCTCTTCCTTCTTTCCTTTATCAATATCTTTTCTTTCTCTGCTTTAACAATTTCTCTTCTCTCTCATCATTCTTCTTTTTCTCTTTTAAGATTCTCTTTTCTTTCTCCTTTCTTTCCTTTTCTTTATTATCTTCCTCTTCCTCTTCCTCTCAATCATCTTTTTTTTTTTCATTGAATTTATATATCAATAATTTTATCTTATCTGAATTCAAAATAGACTTAAGATAGATTTGCCATTTAAAATAGATTTAAGAATATTTGTTTTTTATTCTTATTGCTGAAATTTATCCGATTTTCTTTCATTACTTTTTAATATAAAATAATATTGGTTTTCAATTGCAGTGTACTTCGAATTATTAATATTTTCGTTTTTGAATCCACTTTTTCCTTAACAATATTTATAACAATATATAATAGATAACAATTAGATAACTACTTTGCAATTCAAAATAATAGTGTGATGGACATTTTAATTTATATTTTAATTACACTCTGACAACAATTCTATTCCTAGAAAATTGACGTTCATATTTAAATACAAATTTCTGTGTGTATCAATGGAAATCATTTTCACGTGCCTTTCTATAAAAAGAATATTTATCACAATTAATCGCATCGTTACGAGAGCGATACTCTTATAAAAGTTCAACAATTTTTTTATCACTTCAGAAGTGCATTTCTCATTTATCAAAGATTTCTAACGTAGAGTTTCTTCGGATATCGAATTTCATTGAGATGAAATTTCAAATTTTTAAATTCCTTTTTTTTTTTTTTTTTTGTAAAGAGACAAAATTTATTTGTTAAATTTTATATCAACCCGCACTTTTCTCCTCTTGTTTTTTGATTACACATTACACATAACACATCTTGCGTTATTAGTCATTCTATCGTTATCAATCATGTGCCTGAATAAAACGTCCGAGAGTAGCGAAGAAAGCAAGATAATTCGCTTGGTACCCTGCCTCGCGATATCGATATCCTCTGCAACGGCTGATAAACATATTTATATCGGACTTCTCTTTTTGCCACTTATCACCATCACGCCGGTTCGTCATGAAAACTCGGCGGAAATCAAACGATTTCTATTCAAATCAACGTTGTTGTGCCTCTTCTTCCTTGAACGAAAAATTTTCATCTATGTACATCCAGTTGTTATCGACATCCAGAATTATTAGACTTGAACTTTGTAATTAACTCTGCTCGACGTAAAAACTTCTGTGTTCTCTTCTCTCTGTGACAACTGTGCCGTTAGTTAACTTGTATAAGTTGTAATTGAGGATAGAGTTCGTTTCGTAGAAGGTACAGAACACTCGATTAATTAAATACTACTCTTTTTACGCGTTCTTCAATTCTTTTTATCGCTTGCCTTGTATTTTTTACTCTTCTTCTTCGGATTTTGTTTCCTATTTCTTTACACACTTGATAAATCTCTTGTTATCGGTAATTATTTTTTTCTACGAGCAATCATTCGATAATAATGTTTTTTTGGATTTTTGCAGTGAAGAATACAGGTCTTCAAGAATCATATAGGCAAGATTAACAGAGACCGCATCAATTAACCGCAGATACTATATATATATGTATACAATAATATCAAAGATACCTATTTCAGTACTTATTATTCTTCAATTTCTAATTGTATCGGTTCATTCTTTTCTTTTCTCATGCAATTTCTCAATATCTCTCTCTTTCTCTTTTTTTTTTTTTACTACCTTTCACTTTTCTATCGAACCCAGATCAACTTTCTGAATCTCTATCTTCTCTAACAAGATAGAGGCAATTATCTAATTAATATCAATCGACACGATCTTATTTCATTTCGAATTATACTTTTTTCTTTCGGATCCGAGTTTGTTTTAAAACAAAATTTAAAATATTTGCCTTTCTGTAAATTAAATACTTTTCGAATGTTACTTCAGAAAGAATCATTTGTTCTTAACTCAACAGTAAACCTATCGAGTCAATATTTAAAGATGAATCTTAAAAAAAAAAAAAAAAGAAAATTACGTCACGAGCAAACAACAATAGAATTTCTGTTCCTATCAATCGTATCATTTTCAGAAGCCGCTGATGATTCATTCATCAGGTCACGAGAGTATTTTGTCAAGTCTTATCGAATCTCGTGACTCGACACTGTCCAGAAAGTGAAATGGTTTCCACCCATTATTACCCTTATAATAAGTAGCCAACTATTTATTAGAAACGTCTTATGTATTATTATACAAGAAGTAACAGGAAAGAAGAATCGAAAACATAATTTTTCGTAACGATACTACCCGATTAAATCGATTAAAGGAACATCTATATCTTGTGATCTTAAAATAGACGTTGTTCTCTCCGTGAATGGATCTCGAGTCAAGTGTACACTGCTTATCTGATTAAATTTTAATCGATTGTAAATTTTAATTTCTGTACAATTCTATGTAAAGTTTCCTCAACGTTTCCAGAAAGATCTAAGCGATTTAGAAATTCTTGTATAATCGTTTCTTGTAAATCATCGGATAAATGTCACGACCATCCTCTGATCCGATCATTCGATTAAACATCGATTGAATTTGTGTAATTGACGATTGATCTCGTTCAACATGCGTGGCATACGTGAACTCGTGATTTCTAGATCGCGATAAGTGTATCAGATACAATTGACCTATTTCTTGGGAAACATTCGAACAATCTGCATCACGTACACATTTCGTTTCACAACAACTTTCTTTTGTAATATTTTTATTTCCCTTATCGATAGATATCAGCACATACATACGTAAGTACATACATTGGTATTTAATTTTCTTTCGATTTAAACATTTGGTTTTTACCTTTTTATCGGATATTAATTGACCTATTTTCTCGAAACATCTGAACAATCTGCATCATGTTAATACGCACACAGTTCATTTCACAGCGCAACAATTTTCTTTTATAATATTTTTTATTATGCTCTTATCGATAGATACACCGATATTTAATTTTATTTCGATTTGAGCATTTTGGTTTTTTTTTTTTCTTTTTTTATCTTTTGGGTAAAGATTTTTGTACTTTGGAAAATTCATAGTGGAAAATAATCGAAAATTTATAAATCTAGCTTATAATATAACAATATTAATCATATGTTCACATGTTTTATTAGTTTACAATTTACAATATTTGTATGGAATGGTAAATTCAAAGTCGCAAGAATACTGTGAAAATGCGGATCGATCGATCATAGAGTAATTTCGATTCGGCCTATTATTTATAACCTTGATGTAAATCGAGTAGCAATCGATCAATTGCCACTGTACTTTATTATTGTTCGAGTGTTTTTCCGTTTTGTCGGCTAATCTATTCGACTAATGTCCCTATTAATCCACCTAAACGCAAGCCTTTTTCATTTTTCTTCGCTGATTTATCCAATTTATCTGTGATCAATTTCGTAATTTTGTTATGAAAACAAGGATTTTTTATTGAGGAATTTTTAAAAGAATTTTAATTGGATATATATTCGATATTTTAATTCCCCTTTCTTGCATCAATTATCCTTCTCTAATTGTTAAAAACTTCCATGTTTAATTTGTCAATAATTATATTTGCCGGTGAAGTGAAAGGGATATAGATAAGATGAAGGCTCGAAAGAAATGGAGCTTTCGCCTTGAAAAGTTGAATAATAATGTCAAAACGAATCGAGAACACAAATAAACTCTTGTAATAAGATATCTTGAGTTTTGATCAATCATGATAATTATCCAAATCAGATTGATATTGAACGTCCTAATATTTGTTGCTTAAAAATTATTCGTTAAAATTATTCGACGTATGCTTTATTGTTATTCAACATTTGATTCGATTAATTTTTCTGTTATGAATAGATACAACTCATCGAAAACAGGAATATGTTTTAAATCAAGAAAGGAAGACCTGTTTGATCGGTAAACAAAGAAGTCACGCATCACATACGCTCGATGTATTTTCTCTTCGTTATTTCTATATCTCTTTTTACAATTATGCAAATGATAATAGAAGAGCATAATAGAAGACGTTTCGCATCGTTGCAGAATGCAAAACATTGTGCTAATCCGTGAATTTGAATTGCACTAATCCGCATTGAGCATTACTTTTTTCGATGCAAGAAATTTCGATTCGCTCGTCATTCGAAAATTTTGCTATTAGATACGTCATTTACGATACGCATGCAATCAGTGAAATATATGTGGAACATCGAATAAATTTCACCGGATAAATAAGTAAAAAGAAGTCACTGAATTCAACGTCGATTACTTTCCAATCTTCTTTGGTATTTATACTTCATTCTCCATAATCACGAAGCGTTCATGGAAAATAATGATCTCCGTTTGCATAAACGGTGATTTTCCTCCTGACTTTATTAATTGGCTGTAAATCTTCTGATCCCAAGATGTTTATCTGCAACATTGAAAGTGACAATGAACCTTTAGTGTAATAGAATTAATACGAAAAATAAAATTCTCGTAAAAAAAAAAAGTCAGAAAAAGTTAAAAAGTTGCAATGGAAAGTTTGATACCCTTCCAACTTTGTAATAGAAATCTCGATGTAATATAAATTTAATTGAAAAATACTAGTCTATAATCTGTTAAATATTATCAATATCGTTGATAAGAGTGCATCGATAATCCATTAAACATCTGCGGCAAAGAAAACGTTGGATTATTGGAATGTGAAGAAAATTCATCGTGCATTCATCATGACGGCAAAAATTTTCAATAGAAAAGATCGGTTAAAAAAAATCGCATCGTATCCCAGTGAAATATAAAATCTCTCGATCCGAATCATCTGAGTTGACTCCTGTGAGGATTTGTGATAAACATAGATAGATTTATCTATCTTTATTTTAATGTTTTGTAAAGTTTTGAAACGATGGTACTCCCAGCATGAAAATAAGCGAAATTAAATAAAACAAGACACAAGAGACGTAAGAAGCACATGACTTGAGTTTGATATGAGTAAACTCGTGACAGCAGGCCCGATAAACCACTGAGAATAATTTAATCGACCGCAACAACCGGCAAACGTGTTCAGTCCTTCGCCAACATGTCCAGGAACAGGAATTACCAGACATTTACGAACGAATGCGCGCCGTCCAGCGAGTAAGTACTTTACGAGAACATTCTCGAACATACACGTTTCAAAAGGTAAAAAAAATAAAAAAAAATAAAAAAAAAAAAAAAAAAAACAAGGATAAATTTCGACGGTGGATAAATACGAGATCAACCTTGTATATAGTCGGCCATGATCTAATCGGCCATTTTCCGCGCCCACCAGGTGAGTTGATCGATAACGCGTTGTAAAGTTCAGGGGCTCGTTTAATTACACACTAAATGTTCTACTATCTTGTTCGAAATATAACTAAAGTGGAAAATTTTGTAATGATCGATGGGTATCGTTGTAATTGTAACATTTGCTAGAATGAACGTTATGTTTATTTTCCCGTATGAATATGTTAAATTAATCGAGTTTGATGGAATTCTAATAATCTTAATTAGACATGGTTGATTTAATTTGAATTAAAAAATACGAATTTGGAAAATATACATTAATAAAAGATTTTTCGTTATGTAACGTAATAACATAAACGTATTATCAAATTTCATCATTGCAATTGGTTTTATCGGACATTTTGATATTTTGATTAATTTATAATAATGGAGTCGTGATTTGAAGAAATGAATTTAAAAAATATCGAGAAGAAGATGTTAAATTTTGAATTGTTAATGTATAATTAGAATATTCGTTATACTCATAATTATTTGTAAAGAAGTATTAATAATATGACTATTTGTCTGTTTATGAAAACGTCATACTTAGCGATTAGAATATTTGCATAAAACGGATTATTCATTGAGGTTATCTTTCTATGTCTGATTTTATTATTTATTTTATAGTATATATACGGTATATACGAATCGTCATTGTATACAAATAACGAAAAAAAAAAAAATAATAATCAAAACGAAAATAATGATATGTATTGTAGGAAAAAAATTTGAAATACATTAAAATTTTATTCAAAAATATTTTTTATTTTGTTCATCCTGTCTTTTATCATTAAAATTGCTTTTATTCTTTTGATATTTGAATGATTCTGTCTTAAAATTTTTAACTTTGTTTTTTAAAGTTTGATAGTTAAATATTGTTTCTCGACCTTCTATTAAAAAAATTTTATCTCACGATAAGAGCAATTTTATGAAAACGTGACAAAATAGAATTTTCGCTTATTCGTTATCTCATTTTGTACATTTAATTATATATAAAAAGACATCAATATTGGAATTCACGAACAACAATCGTGACAGATTCAGTCACGAGTTGTACCAACCATCTACAATACGCGATATGCTTCTATTTTTTTCAGATAAACAAATGATCAAATCCTCGTGATTGTTCTTATCGATTCGAATGTGATTGTGCTTTACATGTACTCCTAATTTAGAAAGAAATTGAGATTTATACTTGTAACTTTTCCGAAATTGCGAAATTTAACATATCCTTTTTTTTCTTATTTCATGTATACGTACGTTGTCGATCCTTTTTATGCTCAGTCAATATTAACATGTTGCTTTTAGCAAATTGAAATTTCACGTTTAATTTCCATATTGTTATTAACAAGTAAAATTTGTAATTATAATCAAAATACTAATGATAGAATTCTTCCAAGTATTTCTTTATTCAACAATTTTTTCTGAAGTATATTTTTTTTTTAAATTATATTTTTTCTTCGATGCACATATTCCTAGATATTTTAGAATATTTTTTTCGATATTTTTTCTCCAGTAAATTTAATTCAATTAATTCTAGTCTTATTTAATGAGTTGTAATTGATCCATATATAAAATTACTTTTTTTTAATGATTTCTTTTCATTACGATATAAATTGGTTTGAATTTCACTTTTTCGAGGCTTTTTTGTGAACGCGCAAAAGCTATTTAAAGAACGCATGCGCGAGCGGACAAAATTCGCGCGTCTTCCTATCGCGCAGGTCAGAAAGGATTCGACCAATCGAAACGTCGATTACTTTTGCTTATATAAAGCTTTACCGGCGATTATCGCGAGTACATTCGCTTCGCGCGCGTCGTCCAAAGAGTAAACGGTACATAGAATTAACTTGTTTTTCATTGCTTCAATCTTTATACGCAAATTTTATTTTTTTTTATTTGTATTCGTTGTGACTATCTTTCTCCATCTAATCCTAATTTTCGTCAAAGAATTTTCGTAAAAAAAATTCATGATAAAAAGAGAATAAAAAAACAAGGAAACAATTAAAACGTTCAGTGTACATGTATTGTCCATGGAAAAAAATACAAATGGGATTTTACAAAATAGGGTATATTGGAATTTCAAGAGTTTCTTGAGAGAACGAAAGTTGTTCCCAAAAACACTACGTGATCTTGTGAGACTTCGTTAGGGGTAACGAATACAAGTGATCTTGAGAAAGAAAGAAAGAAAGACGGAGATCAAAAAGAAAAACAAAGACGACAAGAAAACAAAAAGAGGAAGGAAGAAAAGAAAAAGGAAAAAGGCGATGATGTGCAAATTTTTTCTTATAACAAATATATAATTGTGATTAAAATAGAAACTGTGATATAATATTGCAAATATTTTATTTTATTTTAATACTGTCTTGTTTTGGAAAAACGGCAGCAAAAGATTGATAAAACGAACACTATGGCAAAGTAAGTATATTTATATTATACGTATAACATATATGTGCTGTTACTGTGCTATATTTATTTTCTAGTTCTTATTGTACTTCCTTTTCTCCTGATATTATGATCACGAAGTGTCATACGAAAGATGAACACTTTATTTTGATAAGATATAATCGCAATTGTTTCTTTTGATCAACTGTATTTTATTCATAATTTTTTTTTTTCATTGATGAAATCAATTATAAATTCAGCTGAATTCAAAATTAGTTAATCGTTTAATCGAGTAATCATCGAGTATGATTCTTACTTTTTTCCTTTTTTTTTATATTGATATAATTAATGTAATTATAGTCATAACTCATCAACTGTAATTTCTATTACAGATTTTGAAATTAAAATAATAATTTCACTGTTGAAATTGAACTTCATTTTATAATTTTCGCAATATTTTTATATTTTTAACCCATCGAGACAATTGTTAAACATTGACAAATGATGAAACTCATTCCTTTAATAGCATAATCCACATGAATTAAACTCTCGAATGCATCTTGTAAACATACCCTATTTTCGGTAGATTAATTAACCATTTCTATGAATCACACTCAATAATTTTCTGATTGAATTGAAGCAGCAGAGTTTTCGTGCTCGACACGCTACGAACAGATAACAATTGAGCCTATTTACCACTGTTTAACATGATTAACTTATTAATATGCGCTGTCAAGTAATGTCATTAATGAATGACCAGATGACGATTAAAATTCGATACACATGTTTCGCATCAAAGAAATAATCTTTCAACAATATTCCTTTTATTATTACAATTAAAATATTATAATTAAAATATTTTTTTAAAACAATACGTTTTCAATTATCAGATCAATGTTTTTAATCTACTGTGTTCGTTTCGTGTCATCAGTCATAAATCTTAATTCATGTATTATCTATCTAAGATAAGATTATAGTAAGAACTAGATAATTTTCGAATATTTTTTGCAAAATTTGTTTATACCCTATAACCGTCATATATTCAATCCAGAAAATATTTAACGACACCAATTCAACAACTTGATCGATAGTCTTATCGTATCAGTACTTTTAACGTATATTCAAGATTTGAATCTCGATACAAGAGAACGCTATATATTCATTTTCTATCATCATTTTTAAGGATCAAGCATTTAAACAATTTTAACGCAGGATATCTTATAATTAGAATAATAAATACACATCTTGTTTGTATCTCTGAAAAATATAAGTAAAACGCAAATCAGAGGCAATTGATTAATTGCAGCAAGTGTGTTCAAAAGATATTAACAATTCGTGTAATTATTGAAAAATTTACCATTGTGTAACATTATATTATTAAAAATGTAATCACATTCTTTTAATTATCTTCATTTATAAATATTATACATGTATTTAATTACCCAGAATAACCTACTAATTACAATCTTAATTACATTCTAACACAAATATAGTTTCCACTGTTTTTGGTGCGTTACTCCGTTATTGTTTTCCATGGATAAAAACACATGATGCAATTAAACTATTATTACTCATCGATCAGGGACAATTGTTCGATGTGTGCTCGAACGATGTACACATTGTACACTTGAACCCTTTCGTGTAAAGCGTGGACAGAAATAATTTCATCCGAGTGTGCCAAAATTCGTACCAGTCTTCGGCTAAGTGAACGGCGAGAGAAACGTTTTAAAAATTGATGTTTATCTTTTAAAAATTTTATACAAGACATGAAAACATGCGCATTTTATTCATTATTGTTATTATTATTACTATTATTTTTATGAAAAAAATACATAGATCGGTGATAAATAAAAATTAAGATGGAATTCGACGATGTGTTCAAACTCTTTTCTCTTTCTGAAACTTTTATTCTTCTTTTCTTACGCGCGGTTATTTCTGATTCGTTGCAAATCTCAACAATACAGGTTAAGGATGTTGAATCGTAAAAAAGTATTCTTGGTACATTTCTACGCACATATATTTATTACACTGTTTCATAGTCGGTCTTTGCAAAAATAAACACGTAGATTATGCCCGAGTAGATAGCAAATATTCATTCCAACTGTGTTTTATTAATAACAAATCTGCATGTAAAAGCAATCTCATTAGCGATATTTATCATTTCCATGTGTTTATCATTTCACTATTCACTGGGGCCGAGTTTACTATGTTTGATAAATGATGCCTGTTTTCAATAAATGTACATATCGTTTCAATGAATTGGTGTTGCTTAAAAAAAATTGCGAGACAAAAAAATAATTGACATGCAAAAATAATAGTAATTAAATGCAAAATAATTCTCAATTTTTACGTTGTTAAAAATCAATATAGTTCTAGAAAATATGTTCGAGTAATATTTTATCTATAATGAGTTGATTTATTATTGTTAAAAATATAAGTATAAATAAGTAAAAATAATTATAATTTATTTTAATATTTTGCATAAATACCAATTTTTAGCAGAATCCATAAGTCTGCGATAAGTAAATATTCTTATCAATGGTTTCATTAATATAAAAGATATTTAACAGCTGCAGTCAGATAAAAAATGCAATTTCGACCGATAACAAAAGGAAAAAATTTGCAGAATCTTTGCAGTTTTAAAAAATATATATTTATTTGACGTACATTCGACGAAGATACTACATTTTATTTTTCTAAACATTCTTCGTTTTTTTTTTAAAATTAACTCGCTTATCGGACGTCGCGTTCATGTTTGTTCGTAATCTATTTCAAACATGCTTCCTACAATCATCATCTTTTTCAATATTCTAGAAATGTATAAATAAAGAAGATTCGTTATATCAGAAGATTTTTAACCGTATCAGCGCGTGCCGCTTGTAGCAGTACACGCGTTACGAACTTCTCTTTGTTAATTCTCTCATTCTTTCAATTTAATGGTCATAATTATATCGATCTACGTCTTTGTTCATGGACCGCAAAAAATTTTAATATCGCTTTTGAATCATATTTCATTATTAAATATTCGTGTTATTTAAAATCATTTCATATTACGTTTTTTTCTTTTAAACATAGTACTTTCATTTTAAATAACTATTGTTAACTATTAACTTTTAACTTTTAATTATCGATAATCCCGAAAGAAGTGAATCAGATCATTCTGTTCAATGATAATTATTTGTTACAAAATTACAAAATATTTTTTATACAAATAATTAATAAATCGATTTTTATTTAAAAAATGGGATTTTAGGTCAAACTTTATTTTCGTAACACGTAAAATCAGTGCCAAATTTTCAAGTTATCTCGAGCATTACTATTACATATGTATCTCGCATATAATAATAATAAGGATTTATTAATGCAGAAAAAATAAATGTTCAACAAGTATTATTTCTATCTACGGATTTTATTTAAAAAAAAAATGATTTTCAAATAAATATTTATATGTCTACGTTTCTCATCCCTTATCTGTATCGGATAAAAATAATTATCTCATAGTCCGTAGATAAATAACCAAAGAGGATACAAAACATTGCTTTGTATCTTCAGTTGTCTTATATCATATAAAATAATGCGTGTGCGTATGTATCACCACATATTTGATTTTTCCGATACAATAATTAAAATTTTTTAGTCTATATTACCACGTAAATTTTGCATGATCTCTCATCACATGTAAATCTTTAATAATTTGGATATTGACAAAAGATTAATTATTTTGTTGCAGGAAAGATTTAAATTTAGAAGATGGAAAACCTGTACTGGCAGGACATAGTGCAAACACTAATCCAGAAAATGGTCATTCTGTTCATGGAAGTGCTGTCAGACAGGTTCTGGCAGCGGTAGTGGCACAACTTGGAACTCTGAACACTGGTATGGCTTTTGGTTTTTCTGCCATTGCTGTCCCACAACTACAAGAACCAAATAGCAGCATTCCTATTGGCAAAGGATCATCTGAGGAATCATGGATTGGTAAATTAATACTATTTAAAAAATATAAGACCTTATCATGATCATGATGATAATAAATTATATTTTTCTTGTAGCTAGTATGTCTTCTATTGGCACTCCTATTGGATGTTTAATATCTGGATATATGATGGACGTACTTGGAAGAAAACGATCTCTTATTATCACCGAGATTCCAGCATTGCTTGGATGGATATTAATTGCATGTGCGACCGATGTTCGTATGATATATGCTGGAAGATTCTTCGTAGGACTTGGATCAGGCATGGTGGGTGCTCCAGCGCGTGTTTATACAGGAGAAGTGACTCAACCTCATCTACGGGGAATGTTGACCGCTTTTGCAAGTATTGGAGTCAGCACTGGTGTTCTGATCGAGTATTTTTTGGGAAGCGTACTTACGTGGAATGTCTGTGCAGCTATTAGTGGAATTTTACCTCTTGCCGCTCTTTTGTTAATGTTTTTCTTTCCTGAAACACCTTCGTATCTTATATCTCGCAGTAGACCTGAAAAGGCACGAGAGGCGTTACAACAAGTTCGTGGTAGTACGTACAATATTAATCAGGAAATGGAAACACTTATTAATTTTTCTAACGAGCGCGATGTTAAGCGTCCGAAAGGATTTCGAGAAATAATTAGAGCTCTTTTAAAACCGAATGCTATCAAACCTTTTACTCTATTGTTTTTATACTTTTTAATATATCAATGGTCAGGTACAAATGTAATAACTTTTTATGCCGTTGAAATTTTTAATGATTCAGGGGCAACAATAAACAAGTACTTAGCTGCGGTAATTCTCGGGATAATAAGATTAATATCAACTATTGCTGCTTGTATCTTGTGTAGAAAGAGTGGACGAAGACCTCTCACAATGGTTTCGTCTGTCGGTTGTGGACTTTCTATGGTAGGATTAGGTGGATATATGTGGTTAAAAAGCTATTGGACTGCGAATAATCTTCCATTTATTGCTACTTGGATACCTGTTTTATGTATATTTTCATACACTATTGCTTGCACGCTTGGTTTTCTTGTTATTCCTTGGATAATGATAGGTGAGGTGTATCCAGTGCAAGTACGTGGTATTATTGGCGGTTTAACTACAATGGCAGCCCATTCTTTTATCTTTACAGTAGTTAAAACATATCCATATTTAACTAGTATACTTACTACGCATGGTACTTTTATTTTTTATGGTTGTATATCTTTATTCGGAACGATATATTTTTATTTATGTCTTCCCGAAACTAAAGATAAAACACTTCAAGAAATAGAAGATTACTTTTCCGGTAGGAACAATAATTTAAGAACTAGAAATATAGATAACCATAAACCAAAGGTGTTACAAGTGAAAAAGGGTCAGATATTGCCTTGAATTATTTATAAATAATATTTTAATAGACGTAAATTAATAATTTGTCGTCTTCCATCAAACAAAGATAAAAAGTTATATAGTTAAGTTTTATTATTAATCAAAATTAATTCATATTATTATTAAAGACCTGTTTCTAATTTAATTTAAGAAAAAAAAATGAAACAATAGTATTCTATATTTATCTTATAAGATATTGGAGGTGATAACATGATTAAAATTGCAAAAATTTATTAAAATTAATTAAATTATATAAAGATTACAATTATCATAGATATTTTATTTCTTATTTATAAGTAAGACAATTTTCAATAATATCTATTTATTAATTAAATATTAAATATTCAAATAATTTAAATATAATATTTTTTTTTATAAGACAGTAACAATATAGATATATTTTTGTAAGAGGATCAAATATATTTGTAAAGAAAAAAAAAATGCTTTATGGATATTTCAATACGCACATAAAAAAACGAAAAAGGTGCTATTTATTATTATAGTATTACAATATCTGTATATATGTGATAAAAAGATAATATGTAATTATAACTAGACTTATAAGCGATATTTGTAAAAAAAATCATAGTCTGACAATGTACGCGTTTCAGCAATGCAAACTACTCTATAAATTAAACATTTTTAATATATTTACTATGTATCTCAGGATTTTTTAATTTTTCCTTTTTAATCTTAATTGCTATTATGAAAAAATAAGTTTCTAATTCTTAAATATTTAAATGTTTTTTTGGACTTATATGTATATAATGAAGAAAATTAAAATATAATGAAGAAAGTCAAAATATAATTTATTTCTATATATTTATTCGTTATTTCAATTATTTATTCGTTATATACAAGTATATTATTATTTAATCAAGTAATTTTGATAAACGTAGTTTATTACGTTTTTTTCTCATACGTTCTTTTTTCTCTTTTATAAATTGCTTGATCATGTTTGGAGATAATATTTCACCTCTATATGTTTTGGGCAATATTTCTTTATCCAAAATGGTAAGTCTTTCTTCAACATATTTCTTAGGATCAAAGTTTTGTGCCTGTTTAATTTGAGCAACTAATTCTGCTTGAAATAATTTTTCCTTCATTATATTACGGTTTGCTTTAATCTTTGCCCATTTAAACTTCATTTTTTTGCGCAATTTCCTTCTCTTGTGTTTTTTCATTTTTTTTCTTCTAATTACTATCATACGTATAGCTAATTTTTCTAAGGTATTTTCTGTTGGTGGAAGTTGGAAAGATGTATCTATTAATGGTAAATCTTGTTTAATAGGTTGGTTTATTAAAGGTTCTTCCATTGATGGTATATATTTAGATAAAGGTATTTCATTTATATCTTTTTTAATATTATTTCTGGAATTTTCAAAATCTACATTAAGCGTTTTTGATATGAATTTAATATTTGGAGATACTATATTTAAGGCATTTGTAGAAAAATTAGGAAGCGATATTGTATTATTATATTCTTTTAACAAATATGAAGAATAATATCTTACGATAATGTTACCTAAAATAATAATATCACGATAATAATTTTTTTATTAAAAATTATGTTAGGTTATGTTTAATATCGAATTAGAAATGATATAATTTACATACTTTTTGTGTTTATAGTTATTTGTCGAAATGCTGCACATAATTTATTAATAGCCATTGTAATTATTTCTTACATACCTGTACATTTAATAATGTACTTAAAATAATATGTAAAATATAATATATCAAATTCAAAACATCGATAGAATGGAACTATAGTCTATTGAATAGAAAAACATGGCGCCGCTATAACAGGATATCAATGCATGTAGATATAACTTTAGATATAAGTAGAATTACATATAATATATAATAGAATTGATAAGTCTTATGAGATTTTAAATTTCGTTTATTGAAAATCATTAATTTATTTAAACAATATATGTTTGTCTTAATAAGATATTTTATATTGGTGTATAATATAAACATATATATACGATATTTTAATCCATTCGCGTTTTAAGAGTCTTGACTGTAATTTTATCTTTTTCTCTGTAATTAAAAGTTAATGATTAATATCCTATAATGTATATATATATATAATAAAAAAAAGAAAAGATAAAGATCAAACTAACATTATATAAACAATAGCACCCCAACCAGATATTGCATCTCTATCACATGCATTTACTAATGCTTGACTAATTGTTTCAAAGAGATCATCTGGTTCCATATCTGGTTCATAAAGTGATTCACACATTCCATATAGTTGTTCAGAACATGTTCCACCAACCACAAAATCATTTGATGGACTTATACATCCTATTAAATCCATATTGCAAATAAATGGTTCATAAGTATTAGGATTTAATCCAGCAATAATAGGTTCTACAAAATAAGGTCCAAATCTTCTTTCATATAATAAATTTGACACCATTGATGCAAATGCTTTAGGATGTATTTTCCTATTTTCTTTAAGTTCATAAAGATTTAATCTAAATCTTAATTTTTCCATTACAGTTTGAGTATCAGTAGCAAGACCAGGAAGGCTAAGATACAAATGAGATCCCATTTCAAATATCTTTTGAAAATCACATGTTATGGTTTGTGCTTGTATACCAAATCTACGATCAGCAGCTATTGCCACACAATTCTTGCCTTTCATTGCTATAATAGCTCCACCATTATAAGCTAAAATACTCTGAAAAAAAATTGCAAACAATCAAAATCATAAGAATTAATTAATAAAAATATTTTACTTTACTCAATTAAATTTCTTTTAATTAATTTAAAAATTTGTCGATACATAATTAAAAAATTTTCATTAATAATACAATTATATTTTTTTAACATAATTTGTAAAACGTGCAATGTCATTAATGTATTTGACAGTAACATAACCTCTTTTTTACTTTACATTGTTTTAAAATATTTGAATTTTACATTTTAAAATTGAGATATTTGTAGAAATATAACAAAATAACTACTATTTAATATAATAAATATTTACCATTTTTAAAATGTTTTGAAAAATTTACTAATATCAGTTAAATTCTACCGCACTTTAAAGTATATTACAAAACGCAAGTTGTAAGTCATGAAATATATAATGTATAGAAGTTCGATTTCTTTTATTATATAGTAAACATAAATTCATATAACTGATGAAGACATTATATTAATATTTTTCTTATAAGTAAAGATAATAAATAACATATAATATTTCTATTTAGATATTATTATTTTTAATATAATTTTTTAATATTATATAGAATTAAGAAATGTGCGCAAAAATTAATATTTGATTATTTTGAAGTTTTAATAATCTTTTTGAACCATTTTATATTCAGATATATTTGTATAATGCTTTTAATATAGAAAAAAAATCAATTTATTTAAATAAAGTAAATACAATATAGATACCATTAAAAAATTATTATTTATGTAAGAATAACATAGTATATTTTGTACTGAGAGTAGAGTTTCTAGATAGCCTATTCCACCATCCCCTCCAAAATCTTAGAAAGTCAAGAGCAAAGGGGAAAAACATGGCTTTGCAATGTTATTGAGAAATTTGAGGCAGTTTCATGATCCGCATTTAATTCGTTATCTATTATAGAAAAAAAGTTTATATTTTTTGTGAATTCAAAGTCTCTTTTTAAGTAAACGTTTTATAAAAGTGATAGCTAAAGTGAAAACGAAAGGTGGAAAACGAACAAAAAAAAGAGAAAGAGAGGGAAAGACAGAGAGAGAGAAAAATGTGTTCGATCAAGACGAGTCATTGTAAATGTCATGAATTTTGCAACTGGGAATGATTTACGAATTATTGAAAAGAAGAGTTTTCGTAGAATTTATCTTGATAGGAATTAAAATTGATTGGCAATTGCATTTTGAAGAATACAGATCACTCTTTCTACGAATTTTTGGTTAGTGGTTTCGATGAAAACCATCTGGATACTACCAGTCAGCTGTAGTTTGTAACACGCGTTTACACGTGCAGCTTATAATTTGTTCAATAATTAAGAAACGTATCATTTAAATTTAATCAAAATAAAATATAATAAGATGCAATCGCGACAAAAAATGATTGTTTTTGGTTCACATTTTACGATGATTTACGAATGGTTTATATCTTTTCATATAAGTGTACAAGCGCTATTTTAAGTGCTGATCAACTCGATCTACTTGCTCTAAAATAGTATTCTAAGAAATAATTTTTTCATTTTGGCTAAATTAAATAAAAGAAATTTTAAGATGTCCATGAAATAAATATGCATCCGCGATGTATTTTACTTTTATGTTATTTTTAAACTACTAATATACAAAACACTTGGACTTAGTCTTATAATTTCAGTCTTTGTCTATAGTTTAAAGATTATTTTTGGAATATATTTTAGGTTCTTGGCTTTAATATTTTTTAATTCCTTGACTTGTAAGGTGTATTTATCTATTGTATAAATTTTGTATTATTTTTTTTTGTCATTACAAGATTATAATTTAAGCTATTGTTTTTTTTTGTAGGTTTACAGATTTGATAATTATATTATAGAATTTGTATACTTAACTCTTTGGTGTTATAAGTCTGTAGTATTCTGTTGATCTTATAAAAGAATGTCACTAAAGCCTAAACGTGTTGATTTTACTCAAACATGGGAAGCATTACAAGAAACTGTAAAGTGTGTAATAACGTTATCATATGTTCCACGTGCAACATGGTATGATAGGTTCAGGTACTTTATAATATCTTTTGATTATTTTCAATTATTTTCATATTATATAAAATATTGTATATTTTTGCATATATATCTTTCTTATTTCAGTGATGTGTATTCATTATGTGTGGCATATCCAGAACCACTTGCCGATCAATTATATTGTGAGACAAAAAGATTTCTAGACAATCATGTCTTCCAATTATTAACAAAGGTTCGTGCCCAAGGTGAATCTAGCTTATTGCAGGCATATCATCAAGCCTGGACAGAATATTCACAAGGCATTAATTATTTGCATCGCTTGTACTTATATTTGAATCAACAACATATTAAAAAACAAAAGCTTTCGGAGGCAGAACTGATTTACGGCATGTCTTCCGCTACGGTCGTTGATTGCCAAGAACAAATGGAAATAGGAGAGTTAGGTTTAGATATTTGGAAAACGAGAATGATCACACCATTAAGAAAACAACTTGTGTCTCTACTCTTAGAAAATATTCATGCGGATAGAGTTGGTACATCTCCCACAGCAAGTACAGAAGTTATTTGTGGTGTAATACAGAGTTTTGTTCGAGTTGAGGAGTATAAGATGAAAGGACAAGTAGATGTAATGATTCTTGTTACATTATTTCATTTTTTTTTAATATGCACGTATTTTGCAAAACTATTTTATGTAGTGTATTTTCTTTTAGATGTATCAAGAAATTTTTGAAACACCTTTTCTTGAGGCTAGTGGAGAATTTTATATGAGAGAAGCAGCTGAATTACTTCAAAAATCGGATGTAACGCATTATATGGAACGAGTAACGTGGCGACTCATTCAAGAAGAACTTCGTGCCCATAAATTTCTTCACACAAGTTCTGTGCCTAAAGTATGCTTTTACTTTAACATACAAATATCAATTGTATACATATATATATTAAGTTAAAATAGTCGATTGTTTAACAGTGATATATTGTAGGTGAGACAATGCTGTGAAGAAAAAATGATTGCTACGCACGTAGCGTGGCTTCATTCAGAAGGAAAAAATATGATAGATAATGAACGTAAAAGGGATTTAATTCTTCTTTATCCATTGTTAAGGCCATTACCTTCAGGTTTGGCAGTACTTGTACAAAAATTTACTCAACACATCACTCAACAAGGATTACAAGCAATTGGTTCTTTACAAGGAGAAAATGTAAGACATGTATAGATCAAATAATTATATTTTGCGCAATAGTACGTTATTATTTATTGAATATGTAATAGATACACACACAGTTCGTGGAAACTATGCTGGATGTACATCGTAAATATTCGGAATTGATTAAAGATGTGTTCAGGGGTGATCAAGCTTTTGTAACTGCTCTTGATAAAGCTTGTTCAATTGTTGTGAATCATAGGCCTGTTCCACGGCAACCAGCTAGAGCACCTGAATTAGTAAGTATCCTAAATTGTTATATTCTAGTGTAGTTTATTCACTTTTTTATTCACTTTTATTCCATGTTTAATATTTTAATTTAAGCTTGCTAAATACTGCGATTCTTTGCTAAAAAAATCTGCCAAGGCTGCATCAGAGGGAGAAGTAGAAGAAAAACTAGCACAGTGTATTACTGTGTTTAAATATGTTGATGATAAGGATGTTTTTCAGAAATTTTATGCACGAATGTTGGCAAAAAGATTAATACATCAACAATCACAATCAATGGATGCCGAAGAATCAATGATTGATCGTTTGAAACAAGCTTGTGGTTATGAGTTTACGAATAAGTTACATCGGATGTTCACCGATATGTCAGTTTCAGCCGACTTGAATGCCAAGTTTACAACAAGTTTACGAGAAGGGGACAGAGAAAATCAATTAGGCATCGGTTTTGTAGTGTATGTGTTACAAGCAGGTGCTTGGCCTTTAGGTTTACCACCATCTTCAGGACCATTCGATATTCCTCAACAATTAGAAAAGTCTATACAGGCGTTCGAAACTTTCTATCACGCGCAATTTAACGGACGGAAACTTACTTGGTTGCATCATCTTTGTCAAGGCGAACTCAAGTTCAATTATTTAAAAAAACCTTATTTGGTAACTGTACAAACATACCAAATGGCACTGCTACTTCTTTTCGAACATTGTGATTCGATACAATGCAGAGAAGCTGCCGCATCATTACGCTTATCACATGATCAATTAGTTAAACACGCAACCAGTTTGGTTGATTGTAAAATTTTAAAAAAATCAACAGATGGAGAATTGGAGGAAGATACAATTTTGTCGCTCAATTTCGATTATTATAATAAAAGAACGAAATTCCGTATAACTGGTACATTACAACGGGATGTACCACACGAATGTCATGATGTTGAAACTACTCATCGCAGTGTTGACGATGACCGAAAATTGTACCTGCAAGCAGCTATAGTTCGTATTATGAAGAGTCGTAAGGTTTTGAGACATAATCAACTTGTACAAGAGGTGAGATTTTATTTTAACATCAATACGTGCGAATTAAGTTAAACAATTCAATTGAATGTAATAATGTTTTTCCAGGTACTAAGTCAATCTAAGGTTACATTTGCACCATCAATCAGCATGATCAAAAAATGCATCGAAGCTCTTATAGATAAACAATATATTGAACGTACGCCAAATAATGCAGATGAGTATTCGTACGTCGCATGATTTTATCGTACCACCTGACACAATCATTAATTTATTTTATTCAGGATGCTTTGTGATCATTCATAATGTCATACTTTTGGTAATGTTTCAATAAGATGATTAAATACTCAAAATTTTATCTGATTAAATATATTTATATAATTGGAAAAAACGATACTTTTATCAATAATAATATTTAAATGAAATCTCTCGTTTGAAAGATCAAAGAAAGCATCCTGAATTGCTTTCTTGCTCCTAAATTGACCGATTAATAACTTAGTTGATTCAATGACTTGTAATATATGTGCACGGAATAAAGATGATGTTACTATTTTATGCTGGGACAGTTTCATTAGTTTCCCAAGAGTAAAAATTTAATTTCTGATTTTATTATAACATTATATTATTATAACTACTCGAGATTCATTGAATCCATATGAAGAACAAATCAATATATTTTTACAAAATCTATATAACAATACTTTAAATATATTTGAATTCTAATTTTTATCTTGTTATTTATGATAAGTTTTGGTCCCTTATTTTTTTAAATTATAAAATACCAGTTATAAAACTGGTGACAATGTATATAATACTTTTGATGGCCATATATTGCACGATACATGGTGAGATTCAAGTGACATTGCAAAAAATTGTTTGCATCAGACACTTTGCTCTTTAAAAATATTATATAATATAAGGAATATTATTAATGAGTTACACTACAGCATAGATTTGGGTTGGTACTATTAGGAACGTGGAGTTTTTAGTTGCAACAATTCTGGATCCAGCAAAGGATTATCATCCGCCTCTGATTCTAATGGCTTATTCATACTATTAACCACAAGAGATGATGCAGTAGCTGTGTTACTATATGGTGAAAATCCTGCCCATTCCATGCCAAGATATATGGGTGGTGGGCTACCTAATGGTGGTTCCAATAACAAATGATCTGATTGTTGCTGCTGTTGCTGCTGTTGTACTTCTTGGCATTCAGAAGGTGGCAAATGCGAAGTCAAGTGAGTGGTTACTTTACATTGTTTCTCTTGTTTTCGCCATTTTGCTCTTCTATTTTGAAACCATACCTATAAGAAAGTTATCGAACTTGATAATTATTATCGATCGTACTTTTTGGAACAATAGAATATAGCTATTACCTGTACTCTGGCTTCTGTCAATTGAATACGGAGAGCAAGTTCTTCTCTAAAAAATACATCAGGATAATGTGTTTTTTGAAATGCTCTTTCCAATTCTTCCAATTGAAAGTTCGTGAACGTAGTACGATATCTGCGCTGTTTTCTTTTACCAACTCCAGTTGATTGCCTATCTTCACTTCCCGGACTTGATGAAAAATCATACGCTATAAAAATAAAATATTATACTGATCAATATTATGAATATCAATATGATCAAATATATTTTCAACGTATGATGTCACGAATATAGCGCGATTTATTCACTTTAAAAGGAGAAGCACTGTCGCTATAAAACATTATAAATTAATGTGTTGATTCACAGTTCACACACTGATTTCTCACTGCATTTAATCGCGATAAATTTAAAATATGGTATAAAATGATTCATAACTTTTAAACCGATTACCACTAACTCTATTTAAAACAAGGGCTGGCGATTCGCTTAATGCATTTAGCAATAATTTAATTGAGGACTGCCCCAACTTACGAGCCGACAGGTAGAGAGTGGCAGTTAATTAAATCAGGTCTGGGGTGGCAGGGTGCACTTACAGAATTTTGTAGGAAAGCAAACTGAGGAAGATTGAGCGCCTATCAGACCAGCTAGAGCAGTCGACTGTAGATCTCCTGCAGAGTTGATCTCGTCTGGTGCTCCAGCAGAAGCAACGATCGCTCCAGTGGACACTAGAGGATCACGCGGTGCACCCACTAAAAACAGTTGTCTACCATTTTCGTTCGCACTTTCGTCTTCTTCCTTTAAATCCATTGCAATATTTGGCTTCCGTCGTTTAATTAATTAAAACACCGAATAAATGAGGCTGACGATAGACTGAGTGAAGAATAGGCTAATGGTAATTGAATCACTACAGGTTGAGAAGTTCGTGTGGGTACCACAGCGACTCCGCAACTCTGCTATTTCTTTTCTCTTTTCCTCTTTTTTTTTTTCCTTACACCTGTACGACGTAGATAGGGTAGGGGATAGAGTATATTCAACATGAACTCTCTCAAGAGGGGTAGTGAAGCCTCAAAAATGTATTGCTTATACACCACGAATCAATAGCATGAGTGTAGAAAAACGGTATATCTAGTTTTTATCACATACTCATTAACTGTTTTACGAGTAATTAATATACGCACGATTATATGTTATAATCGATTATTTTATTTGGTATTAAAAATACCCAATCGTAAAGTGAAATTAATTTAGAAAAAAAAAACATGTTGAATAATTGAATATATATAAATAATTCGATGGTTACTTGTTGCATTAAGATTATTTTCAATTAATATATCGAAATATGTAATTATAATTTTTATTTTATAAAAAAATGAAAAAGACACAAAAAAGAATGTGCTATCAAATAATAAATTTTGTTAGATTTTTTTTTTTTATTAGATCAGTGTAGTGTATTACAATATGTACAAAATTTGCTAGATCTATTTAGACTTAAATAAAGATATATATATATATATCGTGCCTTAAAAGTGCACATCTCATTGTTCAAGCATTACCACAATAACTCTTTGTTAAGCTTATAGAAAACTGAAATTATGCTATTTGTTTTATTCATGGAAATGTGAGAAAATATATTCAGCACAGTGCATATCACAGTAGGTGCATGAAGTAAAATGTTCAATATGAACTTCAAAATTGTTATCATCTTCAGTATTCCATCTCACGTGTATATATTGAAACACATTAGTTGGACCCATGTCATATCAACATAGAATAAAACATTCAGACATAAAAAAGGCGAACCTTACTGGTAGAGACCAATAAATCATCGTCAAAAAATTTTGTCTCTATCACAACATTTCCACTATAAATAAAATAAAAATAAAAAAGATTAATTAACGATAAATGATTTCAAAATAGAAAAGTATAGTAATATATATATTATATATACTTACTTTAAAACATTAGCAGGCATCATTTGACTTTCTGGAGCAGCTTGTATCAAACTTTGCCATGTATTAGTACTATTAGGTATAACAAATCCAAATTCAAAGAACCATTCTTCCAAACATCTACCTTTAAACAACACTTTTTGTTCTAACCTAAATCTTTCCATTGGTTCTGCAGAACTAAAATTAATTTCTCGTGAAACTGCACGACATTTTAAAATCTTTTTAGGTACTCTTGCTTCATGTTCGATTTCCGGGACAGACCTTTGTATAATAAATTTCAAAGTTACGTTTTAAAAAAATCATATCATTGCAGCGTTATTGTGCATTAAGAATTAAGGTTATAATATACTTACAAATCTTCGTTACCTTGCCATAATATTTTACCACTATCAGCGTCTCGTAAATTCATCCAATTTCTGTGATAAGTAATAGTTAAGAAATACAATTATAAATTAATACTTATAAGATGAGTAAGATTTTTCATCGTAAACTGACTTTAACCTATAAAATGCCACGATTATGTGTAATTTATTTGCAATAGGATTGTAATTTTGTTATTTAAAAAAAAAAGGATACACTTGAAAGCCTTTAAGTATATCTTCGCCTCGAGAAGGCATAATTATTTTTAAGTGAAATTAATTACTTTTTATCTCGTATGTACATAAATCTTGTATGTAAAATCCATTCGAAACTATCGATTCTTTAATTTACTAATTTGTAAGCAGAAAGTAGCCATTGGTCATATCATATAGCTAATTTCAGGTATCATTGATAGAATAGATAGATTTATAAAAATTACTTTTAACATTTGTACATTAAGTAGTTTAAATCATAAATTATAGATAATTAGAATAGATAAGATATAGAACATGAAATATACATACATATATTGCATGTTATATTTCATAATATATTCTAAATTAGGTATTAAGAATTAAGATTTAATATATATATATATATATATATATA